AAAAAAAAAAAAAAAAAAAAAAAAAAAAGAGATCCTCCCACCACAGGGTCTCAAGTACTTAGGACTACAGGCTCCTGCCACCATGCCCAGCTGTTCGCTTTTATTTTATTTTATGTATATTTCTAGACAGGCTCTCACTCTGTCACCTCGGCTGGAGCGCAGTGTATAATCACAACTCATTGACGCCTCCATCTCCGAGGTTGAAGGTGATCTTTCCCCCTCAGCCTCACAAGTAGCTGAGCCAGGACTACAGGTGCAGGCCACTCTGCTTAGCTTTTTTATTTTTTGAGACAGGGTCTCGCTCTGTCACTCAGGCTAATTACGCAATGGTGCAATCATGGCTCACTGCAGCCTCAACAACCTGGGCTGAAATGATCCTCCCACCTCAGCTTCCTAAATAGCCGGGACTACAGGTACACACCCCACATCTGGCTAATTTTTGTTTGGTTTTTGATTTTCTTTTTGAGACAGGGTGTCACTCTGTTGCCCAAAATAAACTCTGTTGGAGTTTATTTTTTCTCTAAAGTAGTGGTTATACCTACAACCTTATACAGAGTTGTCATGAAGGTTGGATTTCTTGGCATCTAGCTCAAATGATCGTTTCAAATCCCAAGTTCTTACCAATTAATATGTATCATATGGTTAGTGCGTGAGCCTAGAAACTGATTCAGCACTAAGATATTTCCCCAAATTACATACGAGGTCAGTAGGCAAGACAAGTATAATCTGTTTTACGGTCAAGGGTGGAAGTAAAAAGTTACCTGACTTGCCTGAAGCCACAGAGACACAGTGAAGCAAAGACTGGACAAAAGTCCATGTATACTGAATAAACTGAACATCTCAATTCATGCAGCAATTTTTATTATCAAAGATTATATACTTCAAAATCAAGGTATTGTTTGACAATACAAAGATGACATGCAAAAGTACTTTTTGGTGGTCCAGTGCTATTAACTGACTACAATCAGAAAGTTCTTTTTTTTGAGTTAAAGTCTTGCTCTGTTGCCCAGGCTGGAGTGCAATTGTGCAATCTTGGCTTACTGCAACCTCCACCTCTGGGGTTCGAGCAATTTCCTGCCTCAGCCACCAGAGTAGCTGGGATTATAGGTGTGCAACACCACACCCAGTTAATTTTTGTATTTTTAGTAGAGACAAGCTTTTGCCAGGTTGCCCAGGCTGGTCTCAAACTCCTGAGATCAAGCAATACACCTGCTTTAGCGTCACAAAGTGCTGGGATTACAGGGGTGAGTGATTTTTGCATTTTTTGTAGAGGTGGGTTTTGCCATGTTGCCCAGGCTGGTCTCTAACTCCTGGGCTCAAGTGATCCACCTGCCTCGACCTCCCAAAGTGCTAGGACGGCAAGAGTGAGCCACCAGACTCTGTTTGTTTTTAAAATCAGAGACAGATGTTGAACTTTATCGCATGCCATTTGAGTTTATGGCCACATGATCTTAGAGCTTTCTTTCCTTTCTTCTGTCCTATAATTTTATTAATAGGTGTTCTATTTCTAGGATAAGCTCTAAGATGAACAATGAACATTTTTCTTGAGTTATTCATGTAGTTTCTCATTTGATCCCTGAAGTCTAATAATTATATTATTTTATAATTATTGTTTTATCTTCATCTTACAGAGAACACTCACATTTTGTTAACTTGCAGAAGCTCCCTAAGTAGTCCATGTAGTGGCATATTTTTCCTTTAACATACTGTTTTTTTATTTTTGTTTTTATTCTTTTAGTGGTGGAGTCTCACTGTCTCCCAGGCTGGAGTGCAGTGGGCGATTTCGTGGCGGATCTCGTGGTGCAATCTCTGTTCACTGTAACCTCCTCCTCCCAGGTTTCAGCGATGTTCCTGCCTCGGCCTCCTGAGTAGCTGGGACTATAGGCTGTGCCACCACACCCTGCTAATTTTTGTGTTTTTAGTAGAGATGGGGTTTTACCATGTTGGCCAGGCTGGTCTTGAACTCCTGACCTCGGTGATCCAACCATTTCGGCTTCCCAAAGTGCTGGGGTTACAGGTATGAGCCACCGCACTTTGCCTAATACACTGTCGAATTCGATTTGATTACGTTTTATTCAGTATTTTTGCATTTATATTTATAAATTAGATCGTACCCAGTGTTTTCAGTTTTATTTTTCTTTTTTGTTGCTCTCTTTGCCAAGTTTTGGTATCAGAATTGTGTTTGCTTCTAAAATGAGTTGAGAAAATGTTGGTGATTTGCTTTCATTATTCCAAAGTTTCAATAAATTATAACAGCCAATTCCAAGCTGAGGGTGCCTCTGACTACTCTAACGGATTCCTGCGGCATCTGCGTCTCTTTGATGAAGTCCTCCCTGGTATAGTCTCATATGTGGGAGATTGTGGGATGTCTGCAAATATCAGCTCACATTGCGGCCACTGATGGCTTGGGAGACCCTCACAGCGCCTTAAAACTTTCGCCTAGACAACTGTCACGGGAGCATCTCGCAATACACATCTCCCTTTTCCTTTAAGTATTTAAAAAAAAAAAAATCCCGAAGATGGTTTCAGTCTCTTTCAAGGTAGACGATACCCTTGTAACAACTAAGTTTAAAAAAATAAAAGCTAATTTTCCCTCCCTCTCCAAAGCAGCAAGGGGAAATTGGATCCACGGCCACGTAGGAGCCTCTCACGACCGCAAACCCGGAGTCTTCAGGGACCGGAGGGGACCAGCGAGCGGGTGGGCCTGGGCAGTCCGCGCTTTTCTCTTCCGAGTTTGGGCCAAAAGCTTGTACAGAGATCACAGTGTCTAGCTCGGGGACACACCCTCCCTAGGCCCAGACTGGATTATGCAGTTATGGGTCCCTCCCTGGATTAAGTGTCCCCCCTGGAGTCGCCAACTCCCCGCCAAGCTGCGCGCACTATCGCAAGGCCGGGCTGGGCAGGGCGCAGAAGGCCCGCCCTCTGCGCCCGGCCAGGCCGGGCTCCTCCCCTCAAGCGGTGGCCGGGGGGCGGGCGACAGGGGAGAGGGGGTGGTGGCTGCTGCTCGGGGAGGGCCGGGAGACCGTTCCACGTTTGCACACGCCGCTGCACGCCCAGGCCGACCCGCGCCGCCCGAGATCCGCGCTGCACCCGCGCCGCTTTCCTCGCCGCCCCGATGGCGTTCCGGGCCCGGGGCTGGAGGCCACCGCCGCCGCCACTGCTCCTGCTGCTGCTCTGGGTGACCGGGCAGGCAGCGCCCGTGGCGGGCCTGGGCTCCGATGCGGAGCTACAGATCGAGCGGCGCTTCGTGCCCGACGAGTGTCCGCGCACAGTGCGCAGCGGCGACTTCGTGCGCTACCACTACGTGGGGACGTTCCCCGACGGCCAGAAGTTCGACTCCAGGTACCGCGCCCTTGTCGCCCGGCGTGGCCTCCGCGGATGCAGCTCTCGCTGTCCCGCGTCCCTCTCTCCAGAGAGGCCTTTCCCTCCGGCGGGACCTCCCCTAGCTCCGCCCCGTGCATCCGCGCTCCTCCCTTCCTCCGCTGCCCGGATCTTCCCGGACCCCAGACCCTCCGCGGCGGGTGAGCCTCCCGGCTCTCACGTGCTCTAGGCCGCCCGCCCGGGACTGGACCCTTGGAGGACCTTGGGCAGCTGAGTTGGGGCAGACCATGCTCCTCCCTTTCCTCCCAGCGCGTGGATACACGCACAATCAGTGTAAAGTAATAAGTATAAGTGGGGGCCACGTTGCACAACTATATTCCCAAGAGTGGACGTTCGTGGCTGCCTGTCTTCTCCCTTTTTTGTTCCTTCCCTCCGTTCCCTTGGGAATCTAGTCAGATGGTGCTTCTCGCCCAGAACGATGATGATGCAGAAGAGGCTAGCAGCCGCACACATACATTGAGCTGGCACAATGTGTAGGTGTAGTTCTAAGTGCTTTCCATATTGTAGTGAACTCATTTAATTGTACATCAGTCTTGTGAGGTAGATACTATCACTACCCTCATTTTATCAGTAAGGTAACAAGCAACGGAGGCTAAGAAACGTATTTAAACAATGGAGTCAGATTGTTTAGCCCAAGTGCAGAGTCTGTGCGCGCAACTACCACTGCCCTCCCTTCCGGCCATACAAAAACCTCTCTTGGGGCCGGGCGTAGTGGCTCACGCTTGTAGTCTCAGCACTTTGGGAGGCCGAGGTGGGAGGATCGCTTGCGCCCAGGAGTTTAAGGCTGCAGTGAGCTATGATCGTGCCACTGCACTCCAGCCTGGGCTACAGAGAAAGATCCCATCTCAGCAGAACAAAACAAAACCCTCCTCGTGGACAGGAGGTGGTCCAGGACAGCCACTCTGCTTTGCACCGGGCCTGGGACTCCTTCACTCAGTTCTGCCTCAGGATCACAGCACCACTCCCCAGTTTCCTTCCAGTTTAGGTTCAGGGTTAATAGGCCTCTCCTCCTCCAGCACAAGGCTACTCCTCCCCAGGGCTTTTGTTATAAACCCTGGTCTGTGCCAGTACTTGTGAATCACCAGACTAGGCAGAGAGAGATTCGCTGAGCCCCTGTTATGTGCCCCAAGGCCTAGAGTCATTATGAATGTTTTGTAGACTCTTGCTTTTTTTTTTTTTTTTTTTTTTAAATTCCAGATAATGAATATACAAAAGCTGTTTAGTATAGTATGTGGCACTAGCAAGTGCTTAGAAATGGTCATTCTTACTACTTTTTTAGTTGCTTTTTTTTTCCCCTAAAGAACAGCTTTATTGAGATATAATTCACATATCATACAATTTGCCCATTTGGTTTGTATAATTTAGTGTTTTTTAGTATATTCACAGAGTTGTGCAAACATCACAACTAGCAAATTCCAGAACAATTTCATCAATCCAAAAAAAGAAACACTGGACACATTATCAGTCACTTCCCAACCCCAATAGTCTACCCTCCAGTCCCTTTCAACCACTAATCCACTTTGTCTCTCTAGGGATTTGCCTATCCTGGGCATTTCGTATAAATGGAATCATATAATCTGCGGTGCTTTATATAATCTGGCTTCTTTCATGGTTCATCTACATTGCAGGACATATCAGTATTTCATTTCTTTTTATGGCTGTATATGTAATATTCCATTGTGTCCATTCATCAGTTGATGAGCCTTTAAATTGCTTACACATTTTAGCTATAATGAATGATATTATGAACCTTCATGTGCAAGGCTTTGTGTGGATATCTCTTTCCCCTTTTTTTGTATATATACCTAGGAGTTGGAATTGCTGTGTCCTATGGCAATTATGTTATACACGTTTTGAAGAATAGCCAAACTGTTTGAAATGGCTGCACCATTTTACATTCCCACCAGCAGTGTATAAGTGTTCTTAGTTCTCCGTGGTCTCACCAACACTTGTACTTGTCTGTCTTTTTTTTTTCGAGACGGAATTTCACTCTTGTTGCCCAGCCTGGAGTGCAATGGCACAATGTCCACTCACTACAACCTCCGCCTCCCAGGTGCAAGCAATTCTTCTGCTTCAGCCTCCCAAATAGCTGGGATTACAGGCATCTGCTACCACACCTGGCTAATTTTTGTATTTTTAGTAGAGACTGGGTTTCACCATGTTAGTCAGGCTGGTCTCGAACCCCTGACCTCAGGTGATCTGCCTGCCTCAGCCTCTCAAAGTGCTGGGATTATAGGCGTGAGCCACTGTGCCTGGCCTGTCTTTGATTACAGCCATTTAGTGGTTGAAAAATGGTATCTCATTGTGGTTTTGATCTACGTTTTCCTAATGGCTAACGATGCTAAGCATCGTATGTTTATTGACCATTTGTGTGTCTTCTTTCATGTGCTTCTTCATAGGGAAGAATTTCTTGCTTGAGTTGATAGTAATTAATTCCCAGTAGAACAAGTTGTCCTACTTTCTAGACCATCTCTAGGGCTGGCAGCCACTGTGAGGCAGTGTAGGGCAGTTAGTTGAAAGATCACAGAGGAGCTACCATCCATTCATCAAACATTTATGCGGTGTCTATCCCTCAAGACAGAGACTAGTCTTAGTCTAGCATGTCCCTTCCGCAACCCTACCACTCATACCCTAGGCTATTACAACATAGTGTGATAAGTACAGAAAGATAGTAGCGCACACTCTGTCTCTACACATAGTTCTTACCATGTGCCTTCACTTATGTTAATTCATTTAATCTTAGAAGAATTCATTTAAGTTCACAAGACAGTGAGATAGGTACCTCATTACAAATGAAGAAACTGAGGCTTGGAAAGTTCAAATGACTTGCCCAAGGAACCTAATTACTAAGTGGTTGAGTAGAGATTTGAACCCAGTAGTTCATGGCCATAATCTATGGTCTGTAGGCCACCCGCTCATATGATGGAAGAGAGGTAAATAGCTATGAAAGCACAGAAAAGACTTAACTATATGTTTGTGTGTCTATGTCAGGGGGAGGTTAGGATGGAATCCTGGTATGGCAGGGTTAAGACCCAAGGATGATTGAAATTCACCAGGAGGGGAGCTCAGGGTTGTGCCTGCAGATCCTTAAGGTCCAGTCTTGTCTTTTGATAAATATTATTATGTACCTACCACATGCCTTTTTGGGTATACAGAGTTGTAGATACTCGAGCACAGTAGTGTTTAAACTGCATATATTTCTGAATCATGTGGAGAGCCTGTTACACAATTTCTGATTCAGTAGCTCTGGAATAAGGGCCTAAGAATTTGCTTTTCTGACAAGTTCCCAGCTGATGCTACTGGTCTGAGGACCACACCTTGAGAACCATTGCTCTAAAACAGAACTCCTGGAATGCGACATCAATTTATTGAAATAAGTAAAACAGGGGTCCCTAACCCCTGGCCATGGACCTGTTTTGATCTACGGCCTGTTGGGAACTGAGCTGCACAGCAGGAGGTGAGCAGCAGGTGTGCAAGCAAAGCTTCATCTATATTTCCAGCCGCTCCCCATTGCTCACATCACCACCTGAGCTCGGCCCAGTGTCAGATCAGCAGGGGAATTAGATTTTCATAGGTGCATGAACCTTATTGTGAACTGCACATGTGAGGGATCTAGGTTGTACACTCCTTATGACAATCTAATGCCTGATGATCTGTCACTCTCCACCACCAGGTGGAACTATCTAGTTGGAGGACAACAAGCTCAGGGCTCCCACTAATTCTATGTTACAGTGAGTTGTATACTTATTTCATTATATATTACAGTGTAATAATAATAGAAATAAAGTGCGCAATAAATGTAATATACTTGAATAATCCAAAAACCATCCCTCGACCCTGGTCATAGAAAAATTGAATTCCTTCCATGAAACCGGTCCTTGGTGCCAAAAAGTTTCGGGACCACTGCTCTAAAAGAATCGTAGAATCATTAACAGTGGACATTTTGCATATTCGTTTTACATACGCATTAATTCATTCATTTATTCATTTTTTTTTTTTTTTTTGAGACAGAGTCTCGCTCTGTTGTCCAGGCTGGAATGAAGTGATACAATCTCACCTCACTGCAGCCTCTGCCTCCTGGGTCCAAGCAATTCCTATGCCTCAGCCTCCTGAGTAGCTGGGATTACAGGCGTGCGCCACCACACCTGGCTAATTTTTGTATTTTTAGTAGAGATGGGGTTTCGCCATGTTGGCCAGACTGGAATTCATTTATTCATCCAACAAATATTTACTGAGTACCTACTCTTCCAGGTGCCAAAACAGAAATATCTGCCCTCAGGGAGCTTACATGCTAGTGAAAAGACAGATGTACTGTTAAGTTATACGGTCAAGTAGAAGTTGGTGAGGTCTATGGAGAAAAAACAGTGGGAATGAGTGGTGGGAGGATGGGGTGACAGGCCTAGAAATGTGAGAGGACAGTGACCACCCAGCTAATATTACTGACCTCCAGATTCTGGACTGCTGCTCTCATGCCTCACACAAAGCAGCCAGCATGTGGGGAGTGCCTTGTGAGTAGTATGCATAGATACCTCTACCAGTTCCAGGGAGGGAAGGATTTCTTCTGCTGAAGCCATAGGGAAGGCTTTGAGGAGGAGTTGGGCCATGAGCATGAGTGGGATTTCATTCCTTGAAGCGGGAAGTGTGTTTAAGAGTGTGGATAGGGTGGACCAGAGACAGGGCCCGAACAGTGAATGCTCAGGGAGCAGTGAGAGGCCCCAATATTTGGGTCGGGAGGCAGGGAACCCAGCAGTGAAAGGGGGTGGGAGAACCAGTCCATGGGAGGCCCGGGTGGCTGGGCTGGGTGTTGTGGATTTTGGTGTTTTTTTCTTCATTCTATAGATTCAAGTTGCCCTGAATATATGCTCCTGTTCAGAATCTTTTTTTTTTTTTTTTTGAGATGGAGTCTCACTCTGTCGCCCAGGCTGGAGTGCAGTGGTGCAATCTTGGCTCAGTGCAACCTC